AATGCCTGGATTTGGGAAGCCTCGTCATGTGGTAATTTTCAAAGTCGCATTCAAAGTCTCGATCCAGGAATTTGTTGCCACTTACCTCCCTTCTAGTTATAGAGCCTCGAACGGAGTCCGAGCTCTTTTTACGCAAGGGTGAGAATGATGCGGTGCATTTTAAGCTAGAATTGGTTTCTTAGGAGTACTTTACTTAGTTGTTGTTATTTTCTTCTAGAATGCTCTTTTGGTCTTATAAGTTGGAGGTCTTGTAGAGAAAGGCATTGAATGATATTACCCTTTGTAAGCTTTGAAGCTTGCTTTCTTCTTCTTCCTGGATTGGGAACGAAATCCTTTTGCAGGTCGAGTCTTTGAGCAGGATCTCTCACGACCAGATTCCAGTCTTGCTGCCTGTTCCGACTCCAGTGTTGAGGACATCTGCATAAATGATCCATACCCGCATCAATGTGTTAATGATGAAGATGAACACAATGATATTTTCATATCAGAGGCTTCCTTTCTCACGGTATGTCATGATCTTCTTGCCTTTAGCATTCCTGAAATAAATATAAATGACGTGGAAGTGTATTGCAATGCTACTGGATGTGGTACTCGAAGTATTTTCACTACAGGTGTGAAAATTTCTGGTCAGAATTCTACTGTCAAAGCCGATCCAGCGCAATGCTCTCAAACTGTTTGACAATATGTCACTACAAAATTCTGCATCCCTGTTGAAGATGGTGGCATTGGTTTTGATTACTGTCTTCAAATGGCAGTTCCTGATAAATGGATCGAAATTCTTAAATTACAAGATGAGAAGTGGAGGATGGGAGATATTGTGCACACGCTTAAAAATAGGAGATGGTTAGAGAAATGTATTGCGTATACTAAAAGCCATGATCAAGCTCTTGAGGGCATCCTTCCCTTGAGGACCCCGTTGCAGCTCTTCCTTATTATTGAACTCAAGGGCTGCAAAGAGTATCAAGTGGAAAGTGGTAAGGAGTTTGCAATCCTTGACATTAATCATGATGGCCTTGGTAAATGGGAACTATCGAATTTTCTAGAGAGCTGGGACTTTTCTGATGTAATGCTTATTGTTGGTGCTGAAAGAAAGATTGTTCCCACTCATAAAGTTACTTTGAATGCTTATGGCGACTTCTCTATCAATTCTTCTAGTGAGATAATGAGCAGCAAATCCAACGAAGTTGATGACAGTAATGGTGCAGAGAGAATTGGAAATCTTTCTTCATTTGATGAAAATGAGCACAAGGTTCATCACTTGGATTGGGGGAAGCCTCGTCATGTGGCAATTTCAAAGTCCGCATTCAAAGTCTTCGATCCAGGAATTTGTTGCCACCTTACCTCCCTTCTAGTTATAGAGCCTCGAACGGAGTCGAGCTCTTTTTACGCAAGGGGAGAATGATGCGGTGCATTTTAAGCTAGAATGGTTCCTTAGGAGTACTTTATCTAGTTTGTTGTTATTTCCTTCTAGAATGCTCTTTTGGTCTTATAAGTAGGAGGTCTTGTAGAAGAAAAGGCATTGAATGATATTATCCCTTTGTTAAAGCTTTGGAAAGCTTCTTATTCTTCTTCCCTGGATTGGGAAAACCCAAATCGTTCTTGCAGGTCGCATCTTCCGACGATCCACTACATCATTGTATAAGGGAATAGAAAATGAAACAATAAAATAAAATTAACACACAAATAAAGATAGTATTCATTTTCTTTATCTACGAATTTAAATTTTTTTAAGCTCCAATATATAAATCTAAAACCATAACTCTTTATTTGCACTAGCTAAAGATCATCATTCTTTAGACCACCAATCATTTGATTATCCTATTGCTCAAAACTTCAAAATTTCTTTATCTAAAAATTCCATTCTTATGCTCCAATATACAAATCTAAAATTAATTATCTTCACTTGCACAAGCTAGTGATAAACATTCTTTAGATCTCCAATCATTTAGTTCTATATCAAGTGCATGCATTTCTTTAATTCATAACGGCCCAAAAAGTGAACAGGTTATATCTATCTATTCTTTATAATTTAAGGTATTCATATCCTATTTCTCAAAATTTACCATATCATCTGTTGAGTCTACTAGTCAAGTCCATGCTTCATCGGTAACGGGTAGGAGATTTATCAATTTAGTCAGTATATTTTGTCATATCCATATTTTATTTCTCAAAGTTTTCCTTAACTCTTGTTGAGTCAACCTATCAAGTCGATGCTTCATCGGAAGTAGATAGGCTTTCTATCTATTCATCATACTTTTGGTTCATCTCAATCTCAAAGCATGTCACACCCCCTTGTTGAGTCCACCTATTCACTCCATGCTCCAAAGCTATCAATTAGAAGATTTTAGAAGTTCGACAGTCTACAGGTTGCTCAATTATTAGGATGAAAAGTGGTAGGAAGGAAAAGCTAACGTGGTTTTTTATGAGGATTTAATTGAAAATGTCAATCCAACACTTAAAAATGATGAATGAAAACAATGAATTTCTAAACTGATACAGAATGATTGGGCTAAAGACAATCTTGAAGAGGAGGACGATGCAAAACATTATGAAACATATACAACAGGTTATACACTCGTGAACTGAGAATTAATAAGCGAATAGTGCTGTTGCACATGAAGAAATGAGAAAGGCATAATCCTGCTGGAACACAAGGACATTTCAGAGTTGATGAAACCAATATTTGAGTAATTTTCCACATACCTCGTATCTTTGGATCTCATACTCTTCAAATGTAGTGATGTATTGAGAATATGAGTTCGTCAGCCCAGCAAGTACAACATGCACATTCTCATCAAATTCTCCAGAGCTGCTACTGGCAAGTACAGTTTTTACAGCATCACGTAAACGCCTACCAGCCATTGTAGAAAACTCTGAAAGAAAAGTTGACATTTGATTGGAATAAAGATGAAAATCAATGATAGATTGTCCGTATGCATTGAAAACACCATACGTAGGGCAAAAAATATAACAACGGATAGGAAAAGATGAAGTCAAACGTGGTTAAGGTGATCCACACTAGGAAAAGAACTCTGTAAGGCCACAAGATGAAACAACTAGATGAAACTTACTTTCAGAAAATACTAGCGCTTGTAGAAGATGACATTAATGAAATACATTTTCAATAGAGAATTTTTCAACACAAATAATGGTCTCACAGGTGATAAGCTTAGAAAAAGCAGGACTAATTTAATCAATGAGTAAGTGCCATGTTGAAACAAAATGAGTGAATAAGATGCAGCAATAATATGCATACCTCCAGGCACACAAAGGATGACCAATTGTCCAATTCTAATTATTTGAATTGGAAGAATTGAAGGCTGGAAAAAAATCAAACAAAAAAGGAACAATTAGCGATATTATGAAACTGCAAAACTTTGTGATCACTTATATTATGATATGCTTAGAATTATTAAATAAATAAATAAATAAATAAATATGCTTAGAATTACCAATGACAAATGCCCTATTAAAATTTACCAGTCTTGAAAAGTTCTGAAATAGATTTAAAAAATATTAAGAACATATTATGAGAGATATAGTGCTTTTTTTCAGTATGATATCTGCCCATTATCTGCTAGAAAAGAAACCAAAGCTAATTATATTATAACAGTTCGGCATTGTTAATTGATAAAGGCAGACCATGGCCAGTGCAGACCCAACTAGGTGAAGTTATGGTGAAAACAAGTATAGATGCAGCAATACGAAAGCATTAGCAGCAATAGTTATCAACAATTAAGATATCAAAGGAATAATGAAAAATAGAGCACTGATGAGTAAAGTTATACACTTATGCATGGGTGTCAGCAAATAATTTGTTCAGTTTAATAGCATCTTTTTTTTTTTTTCTTTTCTCTTCAACCTCTCCATGCAGTATCTACCATTAGTAGAAAGGTTATTGATGAAGATGATAAGCAACGCATATGCTATAAAAAAAACAGATTGACCCAACTTCACTTGCTACATTAAATGAATAATAGATGGATGAACAAAGGTATTAATTGATTGAGAGGGATTGTTCAAAAACCTTCTAAATAAAGTTTTACTTTTCATCTAAAATATTCAAGTCATCAAGGATATGTATAAAGGAACTGTTACTTGTGTTCAAGCACAAGGTACTTCGACCAAGTATTTTCCTATTTAAGTTGGATTACATCAAGGATCAACTTTAGGCCCATATCTTTTTACTTTAGTTATGGATGTTCTTACTATATATTGTACGAGGATCTACCTTGGTGTATGCTTTTGATTGATGATATTCTTCTTGTTAATAAGACTTTACATAGAGTTGAAGGTAAACTTGAATTATGGAGGTCAAGCTTAAAGTGTAAAGGTTTTCTTTTGAGAGACCTAAAACAAAATACATGGAGTGTAATTTTAGTAGTAATAAATCAAGTAGGGAGATTGTGATTTTGAGCGTCAAGTCATTAATAAAAGTACAAGTTTTAGATATCTCGGATCTATTGTTCAAAATGATGATGAAATAGATGGGGATTTTATTAGTAGAATTCAAGTTAGATGGTTAGAAGAATGCATCGAGTCTATTGTGTGATAGAAAAGTACCCCTCAAAAATGAGAGAAAATTCTATAAGATGGTGGTGAGACCTGCAATGTTTTATGGCACTGAATGTTATCTATTAAAAGAGAAGCATAAAATAAAGTCAAGTGTTGCAGATATGAGGATGCTTAGGGGGATGAGTGGCTTTATTATTAGAGACGGAATGCGAAACAAGTATATATGTGAAAATGTTGGAGTAGTTCTAGTGGCATATAAAATTAGAGAGTCTCCTTAGATGGTCTGGTCACATTAAACGTCGGTCTTCCAATGACCCGATTAAAAGAGTTGATGTATTAGAATTGGCCTATGTTAAAAATGGTAGAGGTAGAAAAATATTAGAAATCACATTTTTTTATTAAATTTAAATGAGAATTTGACTCTTATTTGGGCACAATGGAAAAAAAGGATTCATGCAACCGATGGATAACAGGTTGATGTTGTTTTTGTCGTCTGCTAAAATATTGGCAGAATTGAGGCCAACCAATCAGCAGTTCAGCACCAATAATGATGCAAGTCCCAGTTACCAACATCAGCAACAAGATATCATGGACAAATTAAAGTACTGACAGCTTATAAATGAGATTCAAGTTCTAAAGAATTTACATAAGTATTACAACTGGTGCTAAGTTCCTTAACTGCGCCATCTAAAGTTCTAAATTCAACTTCCCATCTCCATCCTAGAAAGAAAGGAAAATGAAGAAAAAGCACAAAACACCAGCTAGCAAAATAAGTAATCCTGATCCCATCCAAGAAAACACTCTGAAACCCTCTCTCCCTCATCCTGAGAATCCCCTACCAACAAACCTTCCACATAGATACAATTAACCAAGCATGCATATGCATGAAAGTCCCAATATCAGACTTGTACATTAGATACATAGCCATTTTCATTGTGCATATCATCTATAAGCATTCATGCCAAAAAGAAAAGAGAAAAGAAAAAGCTTAAGCAAAAAGCATTCTTACCGCCCAATCATATGGCTCTTTCATGTCACCAGTATCCAATAGAATTGGCTTTGGATGCTGACAATCAATTTGCTCTTTACTAGGTGTTTTTAGTACGTTTCTCACCAGCTTCCAAAATGCATTTCCCTGATCAAAAGCACATCATATCATGAAGAAAAGCTTGGTAAGCAGTTACTCTCAATGATGAAACCACTTAACTAACCTTGTCATCTCCTTGGCTAAAATCAAAAGCTCCAGGACCATCAGTGGTTCCAGCTGCAAAACCAAAACCCATGGAAGCAGGGCATGTTCTGACCACTTCTTGACCATTAATAGAAGGAATAGTAACCTCTAGATTTGATAAATTCAAGTAAGTATGATGATAGTCAATTTTCCCACTGATCTGTTCTGATGCTGCCGTGAACAAATCAACAGCCTTCTTATACTGTCTATCTCCAATGATGCGTGTACTCTCGAATTCATCTGGATACCTGATAAATCAATACTCATTGTTTGAAATGCATTCAAAGAAAAGCTTATAAGGCACTAGCCAGTAAAAATATATATATATACCCAGGACCACGACTGTAACACAATTCATTCTTTCCATTGCAAGTACTGTGGTTGAAATCACAAGGTAAGCCAGTGTCTATGCAGAAAGCTCCAAGAACATTTGGACTTACATCCCCACAATTTGATTGACAAAAAGCAGAAACAAATTTTGCTCCAACTCCCTGACTAAAGGTACTTCTTACACGATGTGTAGTACTAAAGGTACGAGGTACTTGGCTACCATTATTTGCCGGAAACGACATAGCAAGCAGCTTCAACATGGAATCTGCAGAAAACATGTTGAAAGTTCTCTTAAAACAAAGAGCATGTGAATTTTCATTTTATCACAAAAAATATGAGAGCCTGAGTCAAGTGCATTGCTTAAACATACAGTTTTCGTGCAACTGGGGGGTTATGCTGGACAATTTCCGAGGGAATCCACTTTCTAGGCTATCATTAATTGAAACTTCAGATTTTATGTCGGTTGCCTCTCCATGAACCTTCTCAAACCAGTCCTCCATAAAACGAGCAGCAGCTCCCTTGTTGTCTCCACTTATCAGTGAATTTGTACGACTCATAGATGTCCCATGAGTAGCAAACCAATTAAAACTACCAACAGGACCCCATTCTTTGTCTACAAACTTCAGTAGGGTCATTTCCTTATCAACATCATACTTGTATTTCTTTCTTTCTTCAGGAGGATTATTAAGATATGCACTTGGACTTCGGTTGACACCAGCATCAAGAAGCTCTCCTGGCAAGTAAAGTATCCACGTTAACCACGGATCGTGTCAACAAATATGGAGTAAAGAGGGAACATGTGTTCCTAGAATTATAATATGATGAAGTTTCTAACAGAAATAAAATTTGGATAAAATCAAGAAACATCAGAATAAGCCAATGAGGAAGCCCATAAGCTGAAAAGTAGCTTAAATAGAAATAAAGAACATTATTTCCAACTCCTTGGGTTGACTAACACTCAATTGGCATGCTACTGAGCCTGCTTAGAAATGAATCATAAGCACTATTTACAAAGTCCTGCTTGAAATCAAATTCCTAATGCATTCCGAGCCCAAGCTGACTAAAGAGGCAGCAGAAAGAATTTTTCAGGAACATTTGAAAAAGGGAATTCCAATAGACAAAACAAAAAGGAAAGATAAGCAAGGAAAAAAGGAAAATTCTTATCAATAGATAAATAAAACTAAGAAATCAGAAGATTTTTTGTGAAACAAATATGTTATATAAACAAGACAACACAAGACTACTACCAAAAAATCAGAAGTGAATAAACAAAGAAACAGATGAAATGGAATGGCATTGAAGTCCTAGCAACAACAAAATATTTTACCATCATCAGCATGCAGCCTAATAAAAAGTGGATCCTATGCATACGAAAGAAAGGCTCAAAATCATAAAGAAAAACCAAGCAAGTCAGGATCAAACAATAAAAAAATTTCATCAACTAATAATAAAGCCTATTATAACATAGAATCAAAATTAATATACACAACAAACTCATGAAAGGCATACCCCGGTTTATAAATATTGACCCAGGACGCAAGTTGTCATGAGCTTGTATGATGGCTTTCTCAATCCCATCAACAATGACATCAAATGACTGTCGAACAAACCCAAGTGAAGTCACAATATAAACAACATATTGTAGATAACCTCCAGGGCCAGCATGTGTATGAATTCCACTGATTGCTACATTTCTTTCATCATATAAGCCACCATACCTGCCAAGAGAAAGCCAAACCAATGAGATCAAATATTATCGAGTATGTAAAACGAAACAACAATATAGCTTTTGCATGTTGAAGCCTGGAAATATTCTTAGTTTAGCTGATTGATTTAATGAAAAATAGACCAACCAAACTGCAATAACTATTTGTTCATGTTAGATTAATCACCTAAACAACAACTTCTAAAGGTCCAAGACAATAATTATTTTATATTTTGCATTTTGACTTCGTAGAACAAAATAAAGATAAAGAAACATGCCTTTCTTCAAAATAAGCCCACTCTTTGTGATGTCAATTCAATACTATTTTCCCTGTGATCAGCTAAGGAGACAGATTAACGAAAAAAGTGTAGATAGTGAAAGAAGAAGTTTTCATATTTTTACTGAGCATGGAAAGGCATTGAGTAAGTATCATGAGAATTAAAAAGATGATCAGTTCCAAAGACACATTAATATTAATAAAGATATTGATGGGGACATCAGAGCGTTGAAAGTATATCAAAGGCGTGGCCGTCGATCTACGGCCACAATCGAGTCGATGTAATTCAGGTATTTATCATTTCTTATTTTATTTGTCTCTTATTATTTATGTTGTATTTGTTTTTCGCTTTTACCCCTTACTTAAGGGAGATCGTATGTAAGCCCTAAGGGCATGGTCGTCTTTTTATTTTTGAGTCCTTTTGTACGAGGCTATTTATAGCCCTTATGTTTCTCTTCTAAGGTTTAATGACTGAATGATAAAAAAATTTCCCTTGTTTGATTTCTTTGTGAGATCTTGAGAGTGCTTGAGAGAGAAATCCCTAGGAGAGGGAAATCGGATCACCCACCAACCTTGAAGATGGTCGGGTTCGTGGTTCTTCTTCATTATCTCTTTCTCCTCCTTTCAAGGTTGTGGAAATCGGATCATCCACCATTTTGGAATTAAGCTTGTTATGTGGTATAGATATATAGTATGGATAATAAAAAAAATCCAATGATAACTAAATTGAGTATGACATAATGGAATATTAAAAAGGATGCATCGTAAACTATGAAGGATGAAGTAGGGGTGTCAATATTTGACACGACATGAAAACCCGACCCGGACCCGACCCGGAAAATTCGGGTTGAACCCGACCCGATTTCAAAACGGGTCGGGTTCGGGTCCGGGTCGGGTCGTGTCAACCCGGCAACCCGCCGGGTCGGGTCCGGGTTCGGTTTTCCGACCCGTCTGTCTACCCGAGTCGGGTTAGGGTCGACCCGTTCGAACCCGGGTCAGTTCCGGGTTCGACCCGAACCCGACCCGTGACCCGAAATTGACACCCCTAGGATGAAGTGGCAATAAATTATCTTAGATAAGTTGTCTTAGCAAAACCTACAAGATAAGGTGGAAGAAAATATATTCAGGTCATTCTAGTGGTTTAGACACAAACAAGAGAGGATAGATGATTCCTCAAGAAGATTGGGACGTATAAATAAAGAAATTAAAAAGCAGCAGATCAAGGTAAAATTGCTAGAAGTGGTGCAAAAAAAAAGATGGCACAAATACTCCTTATATGACACTCAATATGAATAAGTGTATGATAAAGGTACATAAAGTTGGTCAACAATTCGGAAATAAGGTCAATGATGGTGATAATGAATAGTAAATGACTGCCTTAATAGCCTTGATTAAGCTCATAAATTCACCGAAATGACAAGTACCAATTAAAATAGAAAAAATCCACAACCTTGCCAAGCATAAAGTAGTATTCAACAAATTGTAGACCATGCTCCATGCCAGACTGGTTTATGCACTAAAACTACTAAAAGTATGGGATAACAAGACAGTAACATGGTAAAAAAAAAACAATCAATATTAAAGATCGGTTTCTGAAATCAGAAAATGAACCACACCTGGATTTTAATCTTTCAATTACTTTAATGGTAACAATTTGGGATGCCATGCATGCATCGAGGTTCACAAAAACCACTCGACTCCCACCAGGCTCAGCAACTATAAATGCACGAGCTCTTAGTCTGAAGTGAACTCCAGATACAATCTGTTCCATATTAGCATATCCCATCATGTTAACATCAGCTGCAGGTCCTGTAATGTCATAGCTCCCCAGCCCAATCAAATATGAGCTTTCTGCACTAACATTCTGTGAAACTATCAGAAGCAATAGGCAAAGACATATGCATCTGAGTGATTTGTGATCCCTCCGGATTTCGAAAGAATTTCCCATTGCTACAAACCCCCTTGAAAGTTAACTCTTGAGGACCAAGCTCCTAAAAAGATAAATTGTTGAAATAATATGAATTGGTAATCATCCTTTAAACAAGAAACAAGCCCATCAACATGCATAACCTTGAGTTTATACTTCATAGTGATAAACCTATCTCAATAAACCAACATCACCGGTCATTTTAAGCATAGGCAAAACAATTCTAACGGAAGACAACCCTGCTTACTATTGTTCCGTGACATCTTCTGGATAAGTGATTAGGACACGGATAAAAAGCTAGGGTTGCAAGGCAAAGATTAAAAACGGGAAGTGTAAAACCTACGAATCCTATATGCCAGTACAAAACAATGTTTTTCGGGACCGAAAATTTCATATTTTTCAACAAAACCTAGAAGTGCAGAGGAAACCGTCCCGACATGCCAAAGCGTTGGTAAAGTTCGCTCCTTTGGTCAACGGTGACTGAACTTCGCCCAATAAACCTAGCGGGCGAATCGGTGCTGCGAAGAAGAAGAAAAGTCCACAAGTCTCATAATGGAGAAAACTCCATAACTCGTGAAATTCTTCTGCAGCAGCGTCGCCCAGCAGTCATCATTTTTTTTTGGGTAAAATGAGGGCTTGGCCCATTCCAGCAGTCATCATCAGAAACGCTTCAGCCCAAACAAAACGGCATTCACGAAATTCCAAATGACAGCCAATAAGGATAGTTTGAACACAAGTTCAAAGGATTGTAGAAACTGGGCCGGAATCTTAAATCAATAATTGATAAATTTTTTTAAACTTACCGGCAAAGTTTCGGGGCTAGATCACCGGTTTCTGTGCTTGAAGCCTGCCAACCAAGAGCTGATCAGCTGAGGCAGACTGAGGAGAGCATATATAGACTGTGACTGTGATTGAAACTTTCATGACTCCGGATTGACGCAAAATGGTTCAGTGCACGCGACCATACTGTGTCTACAAAAAACGACAAAAAGGGGATTAGTTTTTGCTACTGTGTATTTCTATTATTATCCTTTGCTTCTATGAATGCAATTGCTTGTATAAGGATTAAGGATATGATGCTTAAACAAGTTTTTATTTATTTTCTTTTTTTTTTTCAAACAATGATAACATCCTTCTTCAGATATATATGCTTTGTTATGTCATTATATTATCTTGGATGGAACCTTTATCATAATTGTGGTGCTCAATGCATTGTGTTTCTCTGAGTTTTTTTTTTTTTTCTTAGGTTCTTAATTGTTATATTTTGTTTTATATTTTTATAACTTCTTTTTGAGATTTTGCTCTTGTTTCTTTTTTCTTTTTATACCTTTTTTCAATAAATGATATTTGCTCAACTTGGCTCTCATCTTTCATGAGAATAAGTACTATGGAGAATTAGTGTAGATATTAAGGCTTTATTTGTGATGCCTTTTTTATCACTTCTTAAAGCAGCTTTTTAGTACGAAAATTTTAATTTTTGTATTAAAAAACTATTTTTATAATCAGGGAAAAAACTGTCTCAAACAAAACCTAAGTTGTATGTTGGTATTTAGTGTTGGAGTTGAGATCAAGAATTTTAACATTCATCGTCAAGGGTAGAGCCATAGTGGGGGCCCACTAGCTCGTTACATAGCAGTTGAAAATTACAGTTCATTTTATTTTAAAAGCTAAAACATACAAAGCGCCCCAATACCTGGCCCATCACATAACACCTACAACTTACATAATAATTGATTTTTAATTTAAAAAACAAAGCAAATATACTTGTGTGGATCGAACACAATATCTCCTGCTCTGTTGATTGACCTCTCATCTAGTGAGTCACAAAGTAATTTACTCTTAATTACTTTTTATTTAATTTATTAATAAAATTTAAATATTAATTTAATAATTTATATATCTATAAAAGAGAAAACAAATTATCTAAAAATTTTCAAAATATTTTAGAAATCATTAATTTGTGCCCCTATTAATAAAAATTTATGGATACATCCCTACTCTTAATAGCACTATTACTTAAAATATCCTCTCTCTTTTTTTTTTTTTTTTACTTGGTCAAATATTCTCAATTTTTTATATGAATATAACTTTAAAGTGCTTATATCCCACTTGAAATATTGCACAATCATTTATGAAATATTAAAAAAACATTCATTTGTTTTATTTCATATATAACTTACTAGCTTCTTCTCTCATAGGTATTACTAAATTTTGGATGATATTTCCTCTTATGCCAAATAACACCTCAACATAGTAGTTGAACTAATTGGTTTATTTGAATATTTATAGCTATAGTTTAATCGAACAATGGTAGCTATGACTTTTGAGATAGCTTGACTTAGCATGATAAATGGCTTATAAGTTGAGGTTAATAAACTAACAAGTAAGCCCGAGTTAGTCTCATCTTGACTCATTAGCTTGTGAGATAGCTTATTTAAAAAAGAAAAAAAAAAATAGTATGAAATATACTTCAAAGGAATTAGGATTTAATGATTCAAGTACAAAGTTATTATAATGCATATCTCTCTACTTTATCGAAATTATTTTTTATTATTTCAACTCTAAATCATCATTCTTCTTATAATTTTCTAACAACAACAATTTAAATGGTGATTAGGTTGCAAGTATTATGGATAGAAGAGCACTCCAACAACATTGTAAATTGAATTCACAATATATTGCTTATTTTTAATATTGTTTGGTTAATATTAAAGTAAATTAATGAAATATATTTTGTGTAAGGTTGCCTAGAAAATGAATTAAATTATAAGGCACGAAAAAACCCATGATGTAGACAATGTGAAAGATGAAGGCGTGTGTATGAACTCATGATTTCTGCATGCGGTCACAAGCTTGGTTTAGCATGTGCATAAAAAAAATAAGAGCACATACACATGGTTTGTTATTGTCATGACCCAAACCGATATGGCTCGATACCACACAGGTTATATCATGCCTGATCATAGCAAAAATCAGAAACTGACTCCAAAATCCAGTTAGAAAAGTGTTGAGAAAAAAAAATTTCAATTTATACAACACATAACCTTTACTAAATACAATATGAAGTAGAAGACTAAATCTTTAAAAAAAATGTATATATGATCCAAAAAAATACATGCACAAATTTGAGGTTTATCTACAACAACGCTTAGCAACATTAAGTAGAATAAAAAATTAAGAGACAAGCTTGCAAAAAATTTAAACTAGCCAAAAAAAAAAAGTCATATATATGGCACATATAACAGTTTATATCATAAACTACTTAACTTGCTCCTTAACCTTTCCCTAACTGAAAATGGTAGCATAATCAAGAGTGAGCTAACACAACTCAGTAAAGTCATCTTAGCCTAAAGCATGAATCAATATATATCTTCAATCAAAAGAGCTGAAAATATTGAAATAATAAATTGAAGCATTGTACGGAAAGAAGAAACTAAAATAGATATTGAATTTTTTATAAGCATTTAAAAAACTACTGAGACTATAATAAGATTGATTGAAATATAAATAAATATTTCATAGTAATTAACAAAATGGCTCTGAGTCCCCAATTTTTTCATATATAACAAATAATAGAATTTTTTTTTTTTGTCGCTGGCAAAAACTCTTCTCTCCACCAACAAAATCCCTTCTCGTCGCCAACAAAATCTCTTATCATCGTCACTAGCCGCCAACAAAATATATTCTTAATAAATATAGCCCATAAACTCCATAATTTTTAATACATAACAAATAATATAATCATTTCCATCCCCAATCGAATCCCTTCTCAATATCAATTCAAATATTTAATCATAAATATAGAGTGCATTGTACACTGTTGAAATAATCACAGTATTGTTTTATGTGTCTACAAAGGCTCTAATGGCTATCAAATAATTTCCTACCTGGTGTTCTATAATTTGTGAAAACTATGTTTTTTTATAATTTTATAATATTACCAGAAATTATGTATAACAGTTTTTGAAGATTTAAATGAACTAAAACACTATATTTAGATATCACAATGAATTTTTAAATTGATACAAGTTGTTACTTTTTAAAATCACCCCATAGAAAATCTTAAATAAATACTTTAAAATGACCATAATAGTCGTACTATCAACATATCAAAAGTTACCAACATTTGATAAAATTGCTTTTTTATAACAAAATTATAAATTCGATAAAAAAATCAAAAAATATTGAATTATTGAAATCTGGGATAGGAAAAATGTAACATATCTCGATCCAAATAAATTTCATAACTTGACTGAATGTAAAAATGGTTCTACGACATCCAAACCCAATTTCTCTCTCCTCTCTCGTATATGTTCTTCTAATTTTCCATGTTCTCTTATATGTTAAACAAAAAAGAAATGACAAATGAAATATGAAAAGCATATGTTGTTAATAAGTGGAAAAAGATTTTTATATAAAATATCTTAAGGACGCATTGGTAATCATACCAATTGTTCAATTTTTTTGTGAAGATTTATTATAAATTATTTTATATTTTCATATTCAGATATCTAAAAAATATGACAAATATTCGAAAGTTAGATAAACATGTGTAGAATGCTCTGATAAAAATAGTTTGCAAAACAGACTTCTAACAGTCATAAACGATCTACTTGTATCGAAATGTGTCAATTTTTTTGGAATTATAATTAAATAAGAAGCTTCTGATTTTCATATCTATAATACCCATAAATTTAGAAGAAAAAAAAAATTTTTTGATTAACATTTTAGCACAATAATACCTATGTTATGGCAAAGGTGATTTACAAAATAAACTTATAATAACTGCTCAAATATTATTTGATTGTTGTAGGTCAAATATATCTTTTAGACTTTAAGGGGTTATTACAATCATGCCTTTGGGTCTAATAAAAAAATAATAATATATGAATCTAATTACATTATAATTAATACATTATATACAAGAGCCACTAATCATCCAAAATTATAATAAAATAAAAGATGCACAAAATTACAATTATTCCTTTGTTCCAAAATAATTATGTACAATAGTCTAGAATATTGGTAAAGCATCAAAATACATAAATAAAACTATATTATCAAAAGAATATTTCAATTACACTAGTTCCTAAAATATAATATATATTATAGCGTGAGCAATGAGATGTTCAGTAGGCTACCCCAATTCCCTATCATAGAGATCAATATATTTATTTGAAGTTTCATAAATAAAATTTTTAAATGATTTTATATAAAAAAATATAACTTTGCTGCTTATAAAATATTAGCATTGTGTTACTCGTGCTTAATGTTAATTTAACGTTATTAGAAGAATGACATTGGTATCAGTTGAACATAAACATGCATAAAAAAATAACATTTCAAAACTTATCATTTGAACATAAACATTGTAAACATTTACATATACCATCACTTTTATTATCATATAAATACTAGTGCATACTTATCAACATGAATATCACTTGCACTTAAATTTTTTCACTTAACATAACATGCAACATATGAATTATGATATGTGCATGACTTGATATATGCATATAACTCAACTTCTACTTATGTCTTAAATTACTCACCTTCAACCTACATAAGCCAAATGGTCTGGACACATGCCTGATTTTTTTTTATAACAACACTTCCACTTATGACTCAATTGATCACCTCCGCTTGCGCGTGACATATGAAGGAACATAAACAAAAATAGAACATAACATGCATCACATCCCAAAAAGGAACATAAACAAAAATTTTTTTGTTCAACATTGTAGTGTTGTAGTGTCCATCTTCTTAGCGCCGTAGAGCTCCCTCGAATATGTTGACTCTTTTGAAATTAATTAAATCTTAAATAATTTTAAATTTCACCAAAAAAATAGTAACATATAAAAGCTCTTATCGAGTTTGTTTGAGCAAAATCGAGATTAGACCTGTCAATTTCGGGTTACGGGTCGGGTCAAATATTGACAGGTCTACTCGAGATGAATTGATTCATGAAATAATAGTTATTACACGATCATTGACATTGATGGAGGTGTGGTCACTGTCTAGGTCACAATAACTCTTAAATTGAGCTCAATAAACAAACAAGCCAAGCCAAACCTAATGTCACATTAACTTATTTGCTCATGAGTAGACTTATTAAAAAAGAGTTTAATGGGAATAATTATACTTTAAAAGGTATTAGGATTGTGATGATTAACGTCCAAAGGTATTAAATTTTAGATATCTCTTATTCATTTAAACTATTTTTATTATTTCTCCTCAAAATAATCATTGTTCTTAATTATTGTATTAATGAAAACAACAAGATGAATGTATTCAACACATAAGAGTACTCCAAATACATTGTAAATTAAATTAACAACATTTTGATTTCTTAATATTTTTTGGTTGGTTTTGAACTAAATTAATGACTTTTTTTGTTTGATGTAAAATGAAATAAACTATACGGCAAGAAAAACACCTCAGGAATGCACCAACATTCCAGCGGATTTTTTCACCAGAAAAAGAAAAAAAAAGTCAAAATACACATTTGCGTCGGGTTTCTGACATAAATAATTTTGTTGATAAAACTCGCATCGGAAAAATCTTGTGTCGAAGTTTTTTCCACATGAGATTTTACCGACGTATTTTTTGTGGTATCTAAAACGATTTGTGTCTATTTGTGTTGGTGAATCTTGGGCTAACATTTCGCAAAAAATACCGGCGGAATATTCCGTCAAAATTTATGGTGGAATTACCAGCAAAATACTTCGCACTAAAATTCGTCATGGCAATTTTCGATAGCACATATGTCGGAAACCTATAGCTCAGACAAAAGATTCCTTTTCACGTCAATTATCTTACAATAACGCACAAAGAATGTATCAGTCACATAAATGAACTCAATTGGTAAAGTATATAGACATTATAAGAATCACATTATTCAAAATGCATTATGCGATAATCAAGCGCTATAGTGTCCAAACCATAGTCACAATATATCAGTTCTTAAACATTACATATTTGCTTTTCTAATCATTATGTAAGCAAGAAGGGTTTGAAAAGAGGCAAATAAATGTGCTTACAACAAGTGAACGGAGGCTTGGCTACAATCAATAACGAAGGAATCAATGGAGGAATTTGATCGAAAACAAAGACTCAAATGTGACTGAGAATGGAAGCTCGAGAACGATGAACGGTGGCGATCGAGATCGAGGGCGGGGGCTATGGCTGCGTTTCACGTGAAAATGGAGTTTTGGATGCCTGAACACCGTTTTCACGTGAAAATGTTTGACGATGGGAGGAAATAGAACCTTTTCTGATGGTATTTCCGAAAAAAGTATGCATTTTGTAATGGCCAATTTGTCGTCAGTGATTTCGATGGACCATATTCCGCTGGAAATATCTATTTTTCTTATTTTGAAAGCCAATGACGGGGATAATATGAAGGACAAAGTGCGTTGTTGGACCAGGGATGTTTGCGTGTGATCATAAGTGATGTAAAATATGGAGCTTATTAAGACAAGGGATGCCCAATTAAATTATTCAAGTCTATGAGGGCTTCATTAGAGCTATGACTCAAGAATTAGAATATGTTATTATAGTCTTTATGTGACTTTGTTGTATTGTTTCATATGGGAAGTGTTATTGTAAATGTTATTATGTTTTTGTGTTGTGTTAGACATTTTAATTAATTTTATTGAATGGCTAAATTGGAGTTGAGTGGCTGGCCTATGCATGGGAGTAGTGACGAGCCAATAATGCATTTGTGGGATGAGTGATGGTGTTTACACTTGGTGGCTGATCCTCTTCCCCCCTCTCTCTCTCTCTCTCTCTTAATTTTAAAATATTCCTATCATATTATTTTACATTAAATATTTTTTTTTATTTGTGGAATGAACAAGTTAGTGATATTTTATGAGTGAAATTGAAGGAAAAATCATTTGGTTGGACTTTCATGGTTGACCAAACTAAAAAGAGTTCGATGATCCTATTTAGGACCACTGCTTTAGTGATTAGCAATGTTTTATTCATGTTTGGATTTCCTGATTTTTTCTTTTGTGTTGTGTTTATTCCATCATCTCCCACACCGTAAAAATATAAACCTAATATTCCTTGCAAACAAATTCATCCATTTAGGGCTTTTGTGAGAATCAGCCAAACTAAGTCATAACAAACATAATTGTAATTTTCCTTCACTTGAGTGACTTAAGATCCTCCAAAATAAAAAAATAAAAAGCTTCAAATCCATGGTAGACACCCAAAACTTTAATTTCCATACCTTTATTTGGCCTCTTACACACCAAAATCCAAAGTTCTAAAGGCCAAAAAAAAAAAAAAATTTCAGCTTACAGCAAGTGAGGATAAGTTTTAGATAAGCATTGGGAAAAATTCAAGAAGAAATATCAAAACTCCATCAACATTCACCAAAGTCTGAAGATCATAACTGGTCACATTTCCATTAGTTTTTGTTTTTGTTTCAAGTCATTTGGACTTATGGTAAAGAAGTTGTTATGAGTAGAGCTAAGGGTTCCATATCTTAGTTGGTTGCTGGAATTGGGTTGGCTAACCACTAACTACTTCCTAACCCTAATTTCATTCAAAAGTAAATCCCACCGAATATAACCTTACTCTCATAGGCATCTTAGGAAAGCCCCCACCATCGTAGTTGCTAACTCAAGTAGGATTTAATAAATCATATAAACATAAATTTATTAAATCATACTTGTGTTAGATTTGGAAACTATTTGATGTGATAAGCATTAAATATAGTTAATACAAGTAAACTGTTGTAATATTTGTTTCGATATTTATATGTTTTGGTCATCTTATTACATTGTTTATATATGCCTCACAAATTAATCTAAGAAATCATACCAAATAATAATAAAATTCAATCTTAATTACCATGAACAAATTAAGGGGCAAATTAGTTTGTTATATTATAGTAAAATAAAATATAGTGCAAAAAGAATGTAATGCATTTGAAATATTTTTCGATATATGTAAACGTTTGTCAAATATAATGATTTTCAAATAAGAAAAAATTGAATAAGAGGATGCATATTTCTAATACTTTCAATTTACATTGTATTTATTTTATTTCAAACCAAATATATATATTTTCAAAATAATTACATTTGGAATACGTGACACTCTTTTCATTTTAACCAAATCGCCCTTAGCAAATACAGAAAATTGAAATATAATATTAATTAAATTTATTTTTTTTGTATTTATATGTAAGTTAGTTGATTACACAACTCTCCTTGGCCTATTGATTGAGAGCTAAGGCTTCCAACTAAGAGGTCTAAGGTTCGAGTCTCTGTGTATGCGTTGTGTGTGTGAGTTTGTCTTAAATGACCTAAATGTCCAAAAAAAAAGAGTTAGTTGATTGAATATTGATTAATTTAATAAATAAAATTTATCATCAATTTCGATTTTATCAATTAATTTATAATTAGTTGAGATTAAGATCATAATTGATAATTATTTAGTATTTTATTAAACTAATTTAAAATAAATAAAGTTTAATTAAATTAAAACATAAATAATATTCATTTATTTAAATTAATATATGTTAGTTAATTAATATTATTTATTATGATTACTTTTAAATTTTAATTAATGCTAAACTGCGGCCCCTATTTTTTTCCCTCAAATTTCTGTTCCCTCCCCCAACCCCTCGAAACCCTCGACGCACAAAGAAGCGAGGAAGTCACGAGGGGAGCTTGCGGGTGAAGGCAGCAAGGAGAGCAGACGTGCGAGGAAGAATAGGTGTTGCTGAGAGTTGTTAAAAACTGGGATGGAGGAGAAACGCGATTTAAGGATTCTGCAGCATTTAAAATGTTCTGTTCGACCGTTTGGCATGATTTACACTTCTCTTCTTCGTTCGTTCTTTCTGTTGGGCTTCGTTGCTTCGCAGGTGTAGAGATTGCACGTGTTTCTTCGGCTCCTTCGTTGCTGTTCGACTGTGTGTAGAGATTGCACGAGTCGTTTCTTTGGCTCCTTCGTTGCTGTTCGACTGCGTGCAGAGATTGCACGAGTCGTTTCTTCGGACGTTACAACATTTTGATCTGAAGCAACGACGGTAGCTCGCTCGCTGTGAAGGTAACTTTCTCCCTTTCGCGCGCTTCTTCGGCCAAATCCCGTAATCCGACTTCTAGCGGGATTAGGATTTACCGGGATTTACGCCTTAAATCCGCAAATCCGGGATTTACGGATTTGCCGGATTTACCGCGACTTTTTTTTAGCGTTTGGCTGGATTTACCGTAAATCCTACTAAAAACTCGAAATAAATCCGATACCAAACACCCCCTAAATCTTGTTAAATCCGGCTACCAACTGCGACGAATTTGGAGGCAACAGTGACATCTCGAAGGAGAGTGCCCTGGAGCGAATCCTCCCACGAGACGCCTCGCCATCGTTGGAGAGGACTTGATCAATCACTACTCTCCTGCCGTTTACGTTCTTAGAGGAACTTCTATTGCGGCACAAGGTTTCGGCGCCTTTCGTGATTCCTAGTACCTTCTCCCCGTACTCATTTTTTACAGCTCTCTCAAGTCACTCGTTCATTAATCATCCATTGTTATGAGTGTTTATATAGTCGCCTCACGCTACCTCCCACTTTCTTTAATGTCTTTTTTTATCATTCTTAGTAGATAGGAGGTCTCTCCGTGTTAACGGGTCTCTCATTATTTCACCTTTTTGCTCATCACCATTATCCTATAAGGGTCTGTTTGGATGCATGTAGGATTTAATTTAAGTAGGATTTTGTAAATCCTCATGTTCTGAGCTGAAAAATTCAGGGGGTGGAGTGAAAATACTTTGTATTAGCGATATATGAAATCTTAGCACATAAACAAATAATAAAGAAAACAACAATATTTTTACGTAGAAAAATACTTGGAAAATATTGAGAAAGAGAAAAACCACAGGGCCTTGCCCAGTTGAAATAGTTCTACTAGTATTTGAATAGATTACAAAAGTCAATCCGTCCTCCAACCTAAGGACAGAGAGAATACAATGTATTGAAGATTTTTGACAATCTTCAGACAGATACTCTCGATGCAAAAGTCTGGAGATAGCTGGGAAGAACTTCGACGACAATCAAGAAGAACTTTGATGGTGGTTGAGAAAAAACTTTGAGGACGGTCGAGAAGAACTCCGACAGTTGGGAATTACGGCGCTGATTGGGAAGGAAGAAAGTCGGTGGTGGTCGACGGCAAGATAACACATTTCTAAAATAATTTTCCCAATACACAACTACGTACAAGTTCCAAAAGCTTTCAAATGAACAAATATAACACAAAAACGATTGTGATCGCTAATACAAAGCTTGTATACAGTAATACACAGCTGTGTATTATGAAGATTAACTCATTTCTAAAATAATTCCCTATTACACATATGTGTATAAGCTCAAAAAGCTTTTAAATGAATAAATACAACACAAAAACGATTGAGATCGCCAATACAAAGCTCGTACACAATAATGCACAGCTGTGTATTAGGAAGATTAACACATTTCTAACAGAATTTTCCTAATACTTAACTATTTACAAGCTAAAAAAACTTTCAAATGAACAAATATAACATAAAAACAATTGAGATCATCAATACAATGCTTGTACACAACAATACGCAGTTGTGTATCAGGAAAAATAAACACATTTCCAACATAATTTCCCTTATACACAGCTGTACAAGCTTAAGAAGCTTAAAAATGAATAAAAAAATACATAAACTATTGAGATCGTTATAGCTAAGCTTGTACATAGCAATATACATATGTACATTATTAAAAAAAAACATTTTCAATGTAATTTTCCTTATACACAACCTTGTACAAGTGCTAAAAACTTTAACAAGAAGAAAAAATATATAATTAAGCAAAAGCATGTTTATTCGCGACATTCGAAACATAAATAATTGAAGAATACACCCTGAATCCAAAAAATTATACATTTACATGAAAAACAGTAAAACTTGGGAGGAGTTTAAAATTTAATGATAATAACCCTAATATACTCCAAAGGTTTTAAAAGGCGAAATCGGGAATCGAGGCGTTTTTCTTAAGCGAGGCGAGGCGTAAGCCTCAAAACGATTAAAATAAATTAATTTAAAATTTTAAATAATGACAAAAATAACAAAATATTATGTCAACTATGAATTTGAAGATTTGTTTTAAAATAATATTACTGGAATACAAAATTTAAAATAAACTCACTTAAAAATAAAACATCCCCTTAGGATCAAGACCCTGGTCGTCCAAGTTGGCGGAGTTCGCCTTTCAGTTCTCACCCGACCGAAACAGAAGTAGATATGTTACCCTAATACTCGACTCTTATACGACTCTCACCGCTCGGTCTATATACTTATAAATCGAAGCGGTGCCTCGTTTCGCTTCGAGGCTTTACGAACTGAAGCCTACGCTCCGTGCGAAATAAGCGCACGCTCCGCCGAATCCTACGAGGCGTAAGCCTCAACGCGCAAATGCTTCGCCTCGCCTTAAGTCGCGTCTCAGTGCGCACGCCTCTTCCGCCTTTTTAATCGTTGATATACTCCCATAGTTTGGTTGTAGTCCTGTTATCTTTAAGTCTTCATGGACGTTTTGCATACCATCTTTCGTTTTCTCGGAGAATGCAACATTATCCAAACCAGTTTTCATCAGCATCACATGTTTCTTGTTTTTTCTTTCTCAGTAAATATCAAAAGTGATATTTCTTTAAAACACTAAATATTTGGATGCTTTCGCGGGCTTATTTCTTTAAAAAGTTAAAAATGAATGTTTGGACTGGGTTGGGTCGTTGGGTAGCAAAGAAAAAAATTATAAATATTAGAAATCCAATTGTCAGCATTTAATTGACGTTCAGACTCAAAGTTATTCTGCACTGTCTTCCTATTGTCGTAGATTTGCTAGGTTTTCTTTTCTGCTTCTCCATTGTTCGTTGCTCTTCAACTTGGCCTCTTTCGTATAGATTTTTGAATGTTTCGCTAAATAACTTCTTCGCCTCATTCGACGACGTTTCTTCCTGTCAGATCCTAAATCACACATCGTCGTTCGTTTGTTCGATCAAAAGTAACGATGATGAAGGGAGCTTGCTTGTTGTGAAGGTAGCCATCTTTCTTCTGTTTCCGCGCTTCTTTGGCCAAATCTCATAAATCTGTCAAACTCTCGGATTTAGTAAATCCAGGATTTACTTCAAAGAGAGCGAAACGAATGATTTAACTTGCTGTGAGATTTAACAGTTGCCTAAATCCTGTTTGACAGGATTTAGCATAAATCCTACATCCAACAGCCCCTAAGGCTCCATTCGGCTCCTGCATCCAACAGCCCCTAAGGCTCCATTCGGCATTGCTGTGCTGCGCCATGCTGTTCCTTGATGTTGTCTAGGAGTTGACCTGGTAAGACCTATAGTAAATTTGGTTAGTTTACTGTCTAAAGTGTTTAAAAGGCGCAGTTGCTTTGTAATTTGTTGTTAGAACAATGTCATGGTGATTGAAATTATTATTAATATGATAAAAAAACTAATATTATCTAGCATATACTTAATTAACATACTGTAATTATTTATTTATTAAATTAAGCAGCAACAATTAAAAAATGTTATTTTTTATGGGAAGAAATCTAAACCACTATTATAAGAAAGCTATTTTTTTTCTCATACAAATGGTATTTTTCTCAAATCATTTAAACCAAAAACATTAAAACTACTGGTAAAAAAATGAAGAATCATAAAGCATAAAGCATTATCAAACAATGCCTAAGTATATTTTACTGATTAAATTTTAATGTTGGACCTTCTTTTCTTATATCTTCTCTTAATTCCCATAATTGTACTCTCTATCACCTCATTTAGGAAACCGTGTGTCAAAGTTTGGCTTGATTAAATAAAAAAAAGGTATGATTAAGGTGTGAGTGACAAACATAAAAAATGTTGGAGTTACCAGAAATTTTCAAAACAGAGTAAGTTTAAGATATCATATTAAGTTTGTATATTTTTGTATTGGTTATGCTCACAAAAGACATTTCAAAGTGAGGTATCTTGCATGCAGTTTACAATGGGCAGAGTTTTGATGGGTAAGACATTTTTGAAAGTGCATGAATATATTGAACAATACAAGAAATTTCTAGGAGATAAGCGGCTTGGGTTGCTGACAAATACCAAGCACCTAGCATGTAACTTTTAAGCATAAAATTTGTAATTTTTATTCAATATTATTGAAGTTGAGATTCTAACAGGATAAGTTTAAGCACATTGGATGCATTATATGAACTGAGTTATAAATAATGGCATAATTTATAGAGCTGAGCATTGTTGATTTAAATAAAGAAGTGCCTCTAGAGTAGTATACAATAAGATGATGTTATGCAGAGTTAAATCTAAGTTTGATAGAGGGAGGGAAAAAAAAAATCTAAGTTTGATAAAACTATAATTAGATTGACTTTGCTATATGGATTCAAGTATTGGGCAACAAATGAATCAAATGCACTAAATGTTATTATCGCTTAACTGAGAATGCTGTGATTGAACTATAGTGAAACTAGGCCTAATATACTAAGAAATGCTTATATTATACAAATGGTATGAACAACGTCATGAAAGTAGAGGAGTTGACTAGTAACTATGTTTATTCATGTATAGTGGAGGTTGAAGATGAATTAATAGGGCCGGTGGATAGAATCAATGTTAAGGATTAGGAAGGAAAAGTGTTAGCCCGATAGTTATATGATTAGTGGTCATCAAAATACTTGCACATAATATAATTTCTCTCTCTTATGATACTCAACATTGATAGTGGAGACGACTTCATGAAGTCAACCTTAAATGGTTTGGACAAGTTTAATGATGATGATTGATGGTTAGATTCAAACTTTGTCTCATTTTATTAGTTAGAATATGAATTTATGTAGTCATGGCTTATTGTTGATAGAGTTAAAATTGTTCTTGTTGATTGTTTGCGATGTTTGAGATTATTGAACATCCATAGTTTATTGCATGTTATTTTTTTGTTTAAATTATGATAGTTTACATAATAATTAGTAGATTTTATCTAGAACTCTGTAGGTTGCTTGTGATTTAGCCATTCTAGTTATGATGACCAACTAGATTCATGGTGAAAATCCTCTTCCTCAATAGTTGACTTAATAATGATTAGATGATACAAGAAGTTATTTGATACACCCTATCATTAGATACCATAATTCTTCAGGTTTTTTAAACTTTGAAATGATTTTCCCCTCTTAAACCCTGAGTCCTCATTAAACTTTCAGGATTGAATATTTCGAAAGGCATGATTTATTTTTGTTTCAGATTCTTACATTAAATTTTTATGATGAAAATGAACTGTATTTGGTATCGTCTAGAAACCTTCTACTTCTCACGCAGCAGTAATTTTATATAGTTTGTTGCTTTTACTGTCATGTCATGTTATATCTTTGATTTTTTGGCAGCTGAAGCACTTAAATGGCATGGAAGGCATTTGGCAAAAAGGTTAATATCTGCCACTAGAAACGTGTTTGCCTTCAGATTGCATGAAGAATTATTTCCTTTACTTTATTCTTATAGATTGTGGTTTTGTGAAGAGCAACTTGTTTGCCTTTCGGTTTGAATAATTCTCTCGCTGTTAAATTATGGTATCTGCAATTCTTTAAATGCATGTCGCAGCATTCAAGTTTTAAGGCAATTATTTTGTTTCAATTTGGTTTTAATTATTCCTTTTGTTATATATTTTTATCATATTACCCTTTTATAGTTTTGTTACCCCAACATGTTCTAGTTTAAAACCCCATTTTATGATAATCCTCACGTGAAATATGTGAAAAAATTTAGCATCCATCAATTCCATCTCCATCAATTATGCCTCAATCAATTTTGTCTCCATTAATTTCGCCTTTACATTCATCAATATCGCATCAAGCACATTAACCTTCCACCTTCCTTATTCACTTCACATCACCCAGTAATTCATGGGATTATTTTTGCCACCTCATCAATCTATTGATTGTCCTTATCATAATTAATTATGTATTTATTTTTAAATTCCATAATTGTTGTTTATTTTCTATTAGAGGGTCCCTAGACTTATATAAATTCAACACAAATGATGAAATGAATCACTCAATTGATTCTCTAAAAGTCTCATCATGGCATCATATTAATAGTCTTTTTTCTTAGCATATTTATAAGTTGCAGTCTTCATCATTGCACTGCCTAAAACTTGCGAGCCTTCATTGTTCTTGGTCCTTTTCTTTTCGTCCCGTCTTCTCATTTACAGTTTTCATCGTTGTAGTGTTATCCTTATTATTTTTTCTCTTTGCAACCAATTGGTATCACAATTTTACTTCCATGGATTACAAAAATATCCATGTTCCTTGATCTTAGGTTCATTTGGAACTGAGACTGACAACCCAAATTCAATAAAATAATTACAAAACATTCATTCAAAATATCATTTGAATGAAAAGAATTTTCCAAATGTTCACAATTGGTTTGCACATTCTTAGAGGGAACAAGAAAATTAGGTTATTTACGTTGACGCTGGATCTCAACAAGATAATCCCATTCAGTAATTGTGATGAACATGACTATGGTGACATCATGATCATGTTACTACATGGTTTATAAAATAAGTGATGCTTTCATGTTCATTCAATGAAAGAAATTTGGTATATAGTAAATTAAATGTATTCTAAAGCATGTAACACAACCCAAATTTATAAGATCAAAATCGAGATCAAGTCCATAAACCATGAAACTCCATGGTTTCTGAAATAACTGATATCTGCATGTTTATTCAGTAAATCAAAATTTATTTTTGGTAAATTAAATGTATTCTATAGCATGTAATGCAACCCAAATCTATAAGATCAAAATCAAGATATTGTCTTCGAAGCAAGGGGGACAATCCATCATAAAATACTCCAATCTACTACAATGCCTTTGCAAGGAATGGATCATTAATAATCCATCCAAATGGAATGCATTAAAAATGTAATCCTCCTTCAAAGATGTCATGCTCTAAGATCTAATCTAGAAAAATTGTCTATTTTAAATTTCTAATCAGCTTCCATAGTCATTAATAATCATCCATATAAAGATAATATACACAATAGAAGCTATCTTTAATTTCATTTCGTCATAAATATGTGCATCTCATTTCATTCCAAAAAATCATATATACTAGCTGTTAATTTCTTTCCAATGTAGCCATCTTAATATATTTTCATGCCTCCAAAAACGAACATAAAATATAAAAGAAATACCTATCACTAAAATCTGATTAGCCTCACTTCACTACGCACTAGGTCCTTACCCTTCCCTGAAATATTGTAAAAATTACATAATGAGCAGAAACCCAATAAGTCATCTAAATCTACCGTTGTACCTATTGCATAGAAAGCAGAACAATATGTATGTAGTCATTCAAAATACTAATAGAGCATGATTATCTTAAATTCATGTGTATAGAAACTTATTAGCATGAACAATAGTGATCATTATGAATAGTATCAATCAATATGAATAATAGTCATGAAAGTAGCAATATATATATATATATATATTCATATCTTTTAAAGTTAGAATATCCAGCTAATCATGTGTTGTTTCCCTATATTTTGTCATGTCTTGTCACATCATGTTGTGTGTCAGTGCATTAGTATTATTTGACTATCTTGTAAGAGTCGTCACTCTTGCCCGTCAGCATATCTTGTTCCCTTATAACTTCCTATATTGTATATTATATCTTATATTTGGATTGCACCACAAATTCATAATTTAAAGAAAAGCCCGTCGGTCTACCCTGCTGTACAGTGTATCTTGCCCATGTCACACCAATGTTATATCTTACCTGCAATGGATAATATGACATATGCGTATATAATGCAATTTAATATGTTGATCATTTTAACACTATGCTATTAGTATGCTTTTCCTACCGCGTACTTATTGGAGTATGCATGTGTTAAATACAAAATTAAAGGTATGTAAACTAAAAAATGAATTGTATGGATTAAAGTAGTCTTCTAGGATGTGGTTTGAGAATCTTGAAGGTAATGCTTAACATATGATACAAACAAAATCAGGGAGATCATATATTATTTGTATTACACATGACTTCAAGGGGAGTCTCTCTATTACCAGTTTATGTTGTTGACATTATTATAGTTGGTAGTGGCTTGGAAGATATGGAGACTTTGTCGAAGATGCTATTTCATGAATTCAAAATCAAGAAATTAAGAGACCTAAAGTATTTTTTTTGCGGCTTGGAAGATATGGAGACTTTGTCGAAGATGCTATTTCATGAATTCAAAATCAAGAAATTAAGAGACCTAAAGTAATTTTTTTGCGGTGAGGTTGCACACACTCAACTTTATATATATATATATATATAACATTACCAATTGAATGAGACATGCAAATTAGCTTGTTTAGAGCTTATTTACTTTAACTATAAATTTGGAGATGCTCCAAAAGACAATTGTAGAATTTTTTTTTTATCAAAGAATTATGAGAAGATCTATCCACTTATCACATACTAAACCTAACATTGCCTATGCTGTTGGCACGGTAAGGTAATTCGTGCACAATTCTAAAGAATAACATCTTAGGGCTATACATAGATAAACGAATTTTATTAAAAAAGGGTGATGATCTGACACTTTAATGCCATAAAGATGTCAATTATGCATGGTCTATGATTGAGAAGAGGTCAACTTTAAGATTTTAGGAGGTATACTTGTGATTTGGATAAGAAAAAAAATATGTTATGGCGAGATCTAGCATAAAAGATGAATTCAGATATATGACACTAGGAATCTACAAATTGTTATGGATGAAAATTTTCCTAAAATATTTAAATGTTGAGTGGAATTGTCTTATATGGCTCTATTATGATAACAATTCAACTATCAATATTGCACATAGTTCCGAGTTTCATAACTGAATAAGATATTATAGCTGATAGGCATTTTACAAAGGGGAAGCTAAGCAGTGATTTAATATGTACTCTTTTCATTGACACAGATGGATCTATTTGTAGACATTTTCAACAAAAGATTATTAGGAACAATATTTTGGCAATTGATATGTAAGCTTAAAATAGGTAACATCCATCCATTTGTTTGAGGGGATGTGAAAAAATCAATCTCCATTAATTCTGCCTCTATCAATTTTGCCTCATCTTTCATTAATGTTACATTGAACCTCGCAATCCTTCACCTTCCTTATTCACTTCATGCCATTTAGTGATTCGTGGGAATATTATAGCTACCTCAACAATTCACGGACTATCCTAATTATAATTAATTATGTATTTATTTTTCATTACTTAATTGTTGCATATTTCCTACTAGATGTTTCCGAAGAATTGTATAAATTATGCACAAATAATAAAATGAAGCACTAAACAAATTTTATCCAATTCTCATCAAAATCAATATAGCACTAAAGATTGATTAGGGAGGTAAGCAATCATTCCATTGGAAGTTTTCCTTAGGTATTTAGCTGTTGCTTGGTTCTTTATGTGTTTTTGGTGTAAAAATGATTTATCAGATATAATTACTCGAATACCAGAAGGTGACATTCCTAGTATATGCTAAATTTTTTAAAAAGATTGAATACTAAATTTAGGATGATATGCAGCTGTAAGCAGTAATGGATAGAGATTTTGTATTTCAAATTAATTAAGATAACGTTGATTCAGTTGATATTTGTGCATTTGGTTTTGATGAATGCTAGGAGCTCCATGTGTTGAGAATAATGTATTGTTTATACTCATTCTTAGTTAAATCAATCTCTTGTATATATTTTTTCCATCAAATTGCATAAAGCTGCTCATTGCTTATCTTAAATGAATTTTGACTTGGAACTTCAGCCAATTTTCATATATATTGTTTTTTTAAAATAAAATTACCCTTCATTTATGCTTTTAGGATCTTCCAACAAGCTTCTTAAAAGCATTTGCAGCTTCAAATCAAGGAAGAGGGACATTTTTCCTCCCTAATTTGTCCAAGTTGATACCAAGTAAGCCCACAAAATATGTTAATGCATCATTATTAGAAATGTGCTTTTAGAAGCCAGTTAGTTGTTAGACATTATTAATTTATTATGGGCACACTCTATTCTATTGTTTAAACTTTTACCCAAAAAATGTTTGTATATATGCAGTGTCATTTGTTAATTGATAGTGAACTTAGACTTATTTCTAGTTTGATTTTTATAACATCTTTATATTGCTTGTAAACTTTGTATTATTACCTTCAGAATCTGTAAAAGGTATTCAAGTTTGTGATAAGTGATGTTGCTATACTTTTGAATTTGAGAAAGAATTTCTCGCTTTCCTCTAGTGCACTGGGAAGATATATTTTGAACAGAAGAGGCTGTCACAACCCATATCATTTGTATCAATCTGCAATGAATCAGCACATGAATTGGAGATTTAAATCCTATTTCATGGGCCACACATGCCAATTCACCCTCTCTATCAAAGAAATTAGTACTATTATTGCAAAATAGTGACCGAAATGACTAAATTTGTAGGCCATCACTATTTACAAATGTGTTAAAATATAGTTATCTTTGCTAGGTGTCATTCTTGTTTTAAAAGAAGAGAGGTCTATTTAATATATGGAGGACTTGGTAATGTAAGCTTTGAGGAGGGATTGATATAGTAAGCCTTGTGCCGTCCATTTGGAGAGAGGCTATTCCATGAATTGAAATTAGGACCTCCATAATACATTATAAGCAACTTAAGCACAATCTCCAGCTATTCCTTATTACAACCACTTAATTTTAAAGGACGGCCAATGCATGAAACTTCCTTATGTGGGTTTTTGGGAGGAGTTTAAGTGTGCAATTTTATTAATTCATTGTAGATAAATGATCATAAAAAGATTGATAAGCAAGAAAATTAGATTCTATATTGATAGTTAACTTGAATGTCAAAGGCTGATTTCAAGGGTGAATGCTCTTATTGTGTACAAGGTTTGGAACCAGAATAACAAAGCGAACCTTCACATACAACATGCAACTTTTTGGAGGTCAAATGTTGAACATACACTGCTTAGAAAAGTAAAGCTAATAAAATAATGAAATTGAGCTTTTTGGCCTTAAAATGTGGCATTTAGCCACCTAGATTCTTCAAAAATTTAGTAGATACACATGATTACTACACTACCTTTTGATCTTACATTTGCTTACCAAAGACTTCTTAATGACATCAAACCAAAGCTCATTCCTAATGATTCACGAAGAGAGTAATGCAAGCTCATATGGGAAGATTTAATTAAGGGCTTATTTGAGATAACTTTTAATTTATATTTTAAAAAATTAGATTAAAAAAATAATGAAATATTTGTTAAGTTGTTTTTGTCTTTTGTTTTAAAAAACAAATCTTTTTTGTTTTTAAATAATTAACACAAGTTTTAGGTGTTTTTTTTTTTTTCAAAGAAGCGTTAAGGAGCGCTAGAGACCATCCTTGATACCTCCTTTTTAAGGCTCGCTAGAAATTTTTGTGGACCTTCCATCAGCTTCATGAACCTTAATAGTGTAGAGCTTGAGAAGGCAGCGATCTCATGACCTTAGGTTTGGGCTAGATTTCCCTCTTGGCTGGCCACTCCGACTCAAGTTCAACGGACTGGCTGAGCGGGATTTGAGTGGTTAAGTCCACCAGGGCGTTTGTGAATCCAAAAACTCTGTTCTTGATACCATTGGCCTAGTGCATCATCTGAAGGTTGCATAGCTTATTATGGTAGGAGGTTTGAAAGTTTCTCTCTAGGTTTTTGGGAAGAGATAGGTGTAGGAGAGTGAAAGAAGTTGTGAAGGTGAAAGATTGCTGTAAGTGGAGAAGGGAAAAGGTTCAAGGGGCCCGGAATAGAGGAGATTTGGGATGGCTGGTGAGGGGTTTGAGGCTTGGATATTTTTTGTTAGGATAGGGAGGATGAAATAGCTTTTTTAATGCTATTTACCTTTTGAACATAATAGAAATCAAATGTGTTTTTGTTTCTAAGTAAAAACATAAGCAAAGCAAAATCAAAACAAAATTAAAACATGATAAACAAAAGAAGTGATTTCAAACCACCCCTATATTTTGCGCATAATATCAATTACAAGTGCATAACCATTAATTTTTAGCTTGAAGCTGCTCTTACTATCAAATATTCTTCCTATTATTCATCGTAATAAATAAATTTGTAGCTTGAAGCTACCCTTATTATGAAAGATTTCCCCGTAAAAGGTAAGATACCTTGCTCACATGGGAAGTAATGTAAGCATACATGACGTATCAGATACAATTGTGCTTACCATTAGTTTGTAGCTTGAAGCCACTTTATTATAAAAGCTGATATCTACTTAATTCTCAGTGATAAATAAGTTTGTAGCTTGAAGCTACCCTCCCTTTTTATCAAAGGTAAATTCTATTTATTCCCCGTAAAAGGAAAGCTTTCTATCTTAAATAATAAGTTTGTAGCTAGAGTTTTTTTGCTGAAGTCTGCAAGACAAGAAATATATTCACTAACAAACACTTATGCTCTAACTATAGATATGATTCTTATTATGCCACTTGCTAAACAGATTCTCAATTTTTTCCTACCTTAAATAAAATCATTCATAATTCAATGTAGTTGGAGTACCTGTTTGAGCTTTAATAAAAAATCATGTAATTATATAGTAATCTATAATTTTACACTTAATTACTCAATTAAAATTTGGGTTTAACCTAAACCTATCCCTAAATGCTAAAGGAGTTAAGGGAGGGCGAGGGATCCCATTCTCCATCATACTCTCTAGTTGACGAGCTCGCCAACAATGATGATGCAGTTGTTAGGCAAACTAAAAAGGATGGGAAAATACTTGGATAGAGCCATTAAAGATAGTAAAATATGTGACCCTAAGCACTAATAGACTTGTAAGCATTGCCCCTAGTTTAGACAATCATTGATGGCTTGCTCGGTTGTTGGTGGCCAGCTTATGTCATGTGGCCTTGTCTTGCAAGGGACCCCTCAACGAGTTTTCACCTTGCTAACAGCTGTATGGTTGAGAAAAAAAACCAGAAAATGACAGAAAAAAAAGGTAGCTGCCAAACGTGAGCATGCCAGTGTTGATGGGTACCTCGTGTCAATGCCCTCCCCTTGCTATTTGTTGTGTTACCCTCCCTGATATATTAGATAGGGAGGTAGTGCTTTGACCAAAATCATATTGGACATGTCTATTCTAGTTTAGATTACTCAAAATATTTGTTTTGTGATGCTTTTGATAAAATCTACAGAATTCCCTAAAATTCATCATAATACTACACTTTCAGGTCTACCGATTTAATCATTGAAACTTAACATTTTTGAAGTTGCAACGTTGAGAGATTCCAGAAGTTCGATCTGAGATTATGGAGATAAAATATAACGTTCAAATAATCTAATTGTTCTAAAAATACCCCTGCATGAAAGGTATAAACTATCTTCTAATAGATGCATCCTGTTACTTCATACTAGTTAATAGTTTATACCGTTGGAGCGCCACCACATAATCCCAATTTACAGGTGCAGCAAGAACTAAACTAACTATTTGGCAATTGTGGTGTTTTTCAAAGTTCATGATTAATTGTTGGTACTTGAAATAATCTATTTATGTGCATGATCTTGGCATAATCATTCTATTTTTTTTCATATTCTTTCATTGTTTATTTTATTTGGGAAAAATTGGTTATTTTTTTACTCTTTTTTGTATAAATCTTAATGTATATGATGCAGATTTTTATTTCAAGGATGTGCCTGCATTCCCTATGGATCATAATGTTTTGCAAAATGGTAGCATTTTCAGGTACATTTACAACTCTTTATATATATATATGCTTGTCACACTCCCGAACTTTGTAAGGGATGATGATTAATCAAAATATGTACTAATTTTATTTTTATAAAGAATATAAAAATAAACATTTTTTTAAGTGCAATCATGGGTTTTGTGGAAATGAGACACCTCGAGTTAAAGGCTTTCTCAAGTTGATGATTCTGGAGGTGACATTGACAATGGAAATTGCAAAAGTGGTTGGAAGGTGCAATAGCAAAGGAAGACAATTATGTTACATTCAAGCAGGCAGGCATCAAGAAGATTAATTATTCTAGTGATTTCGTGCAACTGGAGATGGAGTGTGAGCAGAAGTACGGATGTTTATGGGTTGTCTATTAATATTTGTTGTTTTTGAGGATAGTATCCATATTACTGTTCATTCAGACAGTATGATCATTTAAGAAATTGAATTGATCGTCCTATACAGTATTCATTGTACAATACTACAATATGATATTTGAAGTAATTGTACTGTATGATCCATATATCGTACTGTATGAATAGTCACGACATAATTGAAAATTAGGGTTTTTCGAGAAGTCTACTATTTAAACATCTCTTAATTCATTTGAGAGAGTCTTTTGCTGTTCGAGAGAGTGTGACTTCTGTAAGCAAGAGTTTGAAGAGAGAGATTTGAGAAAGGGGGAGAGCGGTGAAGTTGTGAGGAGAGAGAAGAGCCTTATGGGTGTAAGGGAGTGTGAGAGGGTGTTTCCACATGGTTGCTCCGGCCAACGTCCCTCTTCTTCCTCCATGTGTCAAAGTCTTTTTTGAGGGTAACTCCGTGAAGAAGCTCTTGGCGTCAAAAGGGCCACCAACAACTCTTCCACATCGGGGAAGGTGAAAGGCGGCAACTCTGCCACACCGGGGAAGATGAAAGGGATTAGCTACTCCACTGCACCGAATAATGTGAAAGGGATTTCGGTTTTCAGCCTCATCGAGGGTGGAAGTAAATCTTGTGAGGGCTTCTCTTCGTTATCGAGGGGGACTAAAGGAGAGTCACTAAAGTGTTTAGTGCAATATCCGGAGAGGAATCTGAGTGGACGTATGTCAAGTTGACCGAACCACTATAAATTTTTGGTGTGTTTTGTTCCTTAGCTTTCTGCATATTTACATTCTACAATTTGATTTGTGTTGGTGATTATTGTGATATGAGATTTATGATTGGTTGTTTCTGTTACTTGGTTGAAAAAGCAAAAGAATAAAAATATTTGTTAATTAATTATTTATTTTTGTTAATTCGATTCCATATTGAAAAATCTGATTTTGATTTTAAGTTTAGGAAATTGGTTTTAATTTAAAAAAGACTTTTGAAATTTTTTTTTAAAACACTAATTCATCCCCTCTTGATGTGCCGTTCAATAGTTCAAGTGGTTTCATAACCATCCTTTAAACTTTCAGAATCTTCACTCGAAAGAAATAAATTAATTATGTTACAACATGGTGGGCAGGGTGTATTTATAGCCACAGACCTGAAGGTAATTGTGTAAAATGAAGTTTACTCGACTAAATAAAAAACAAAAAGACTAGGCAAAAACTCAATAAAAAATATTAATTTAGAATTAAAGGACTAATGCAGCAATCTTCATTTTGGTTATTTAATTCACAAAGATCCAAGCAAACATCATCAAGATTCAATCCTTCCAAGTAATGCTGAAATTTTAATGAAGCTAAAACTTCTGTCAACCATCTGATGCATTGCCATATGTTGGAATGTATACAATGTTGATAATCCTATCAACAACTTTCTCCTTGATGAAATAGAATTTCACATCTATATGCTTAGTCCTTTTAAGATACATGAGATTTTTGGAGTGGAATACTATTTAATTTTTATAAAACATAGACACAGGAGTAAGCACTAATTGAATTAACAATCAAGAAATCAGCTATTTCAACCATACAACTTCTTTTATGACTTTAAATGTAGCAATGTATTCAGCTTCAGTTGTAAATAAGGCTACTGCTGGCTATAACTTAGCTTTCCAACTAGTAGTGTTTCAAAACACCTTAAACACATAATGTTTATGGGATCTTCGAGTATCAAAATAGCTAGCATAATTAGGGAATCAGATTTTCATACATCAATTTTAAGGTCATGGTTGCATTTAAGTGGAGAACCTTCTTCATATATAATCTTTCAAAATCTTTTCCTGGTGCTTGATCCTTTTTCAACTTATAATGTTATGCTAAATGTATAAGAGCTAGTTTAGAAGTTGTCATCTCATACAATCTTCTTGATGTACGTACCATGCAACAAGTCTAATTTTTGGCTTTCTTTTTCCCAGATGATCTCCATATCAAGAATTTTCTTGGCAGGACCAAGATTGTTCATGCCAAATTCCATCTTGAACAAAACCTTCAATCTTACAATTTTCAAGAATCATAATTTCTTCGGGTGAAGCCAATATCAAGCATATATTCAGTAAGGATCTTGTCAGAAAATATGCTTGATCTTTTGTTTGAATATGTACTCTATTTGTAAACACATGTGAACAATTTGTTGATATTCTCACTGAAGGATTATTAGGGCCAATCTTTTAAAAATTATCAAGCAAATTGGAGTGGATCACATTCATTCTTTGCTTGGGAGGGAGTGTGAAATGCTTGCAGCTAGTTGGGATCCACACTCACCAAGAATTTATCCACTCTTTTTCTTCTCATTTGTTGCCACCTCATTGAGTTGTGGAATCCCTACTATCTACTCATTAGTCCGTTGGCTATTTTAATTATTATTATTTGATTTTGTATGTTTCCTATTAGAAGTCTCATAGGATTATATTCATACTTCTCAAATGTTGGAGTGAAATACACAACAAATTCTCTTCAATTCTTGTCAGATGTGATTACATGCCTCCTTACTGTTGGCTACAACACATTTTCCATTAATCATACATTTTTATGTAAATTTGTTGGACAACTAAATTTTCCCCATTGAGTGAAAATATAATTGTTATCTATTATAGAGGTTTTAGTATTCATTGGGACTTGCTCATAATAATCTTATATTCTGATGATACACCAAAGATTGATGAAAAGTGCTGCAAAGCCCTTCAATAAATATTGGTGCAGACTTGATGAAATGAATACTTGGATGCATACCTATGATGCTTAGCATTTCCTCAGGACTATAAAAGCAGATTAAATGGTATTGGACTACATTGTATAAATTTCTCCTTGAACAGCTTATCCGTCAAAATTTTCATGGGGCTTACTGTTCAGTGTTTCCATCAAGGTTGAAAATTTTGTAGATGAATCCATTAAATTTTCATCCAAAACATGTTTTGGCCTGTAGTTTTTGTTTTTTTTGGTCCAAATGTGTATGATTCCTTCTTGCGTGGACATTTTGTTTGGATTGGGTGTGCTTTATACAGAGTTAAAAATTCTTGCAAAAAAGAAAAGGTCACAAACCTTCCCGTTTTCTTAGTAATATATAAGACTTGTTAACTATCTGAGTTGTTTAATTTTTTCATCTTTTATTTAACAAAATCCAACACATAAGTTCTCTGAAGTCGAATCTGTTACTGCAGCACTAGATTTTTCTACAATACAATTTTTTGAGGAACACTTATTTGCATGTTGTTGAATATTTATGATTTTATTTTGCTTGTTATTATTTGTACTTTGTACTCAAGTACCTAATTAATTCAAATTAGATGGAACATTTGATGTCACTGATTGCTGAAAAGTATGATTCATTGCCTGCACATTTTTTCCTTTGCTCTTAGAGATAACATTTCACTTAAATGCATTGGGTAAAATTTTAAATTAGTATTTTTTCTTGTACATGTAATATGCTGCTTTAATTATTGATCTGATCATTTGCTTTCCTGTATAGGATGTTTCATGCAAGTTACAGTCCGGCATTGAGAATGAAGGAACAAGCACCTGGTTTGAGAGTTCCCAAAAAAGATAGACGGGTTAGGAGAGAAAATAGAACTGAAGCTCCTGTTGAGGCGCCCTATGTACCTCCAAAATCAAAATTAACTTTGAAACCTTCGTCTAACAAAACCATTGATATTTTTGAAGGCATGACTATTGTTGAATTGGCTAAGAGGACAGGTGTAAGCATAAGGCATTTACAAGAGATAATTGTGAATGTTGGTGAGAAAGTTGATTCAGAGTTTGATCCATTAAGCATTGATATCGCTGAACTGGTTTCCATGGTATAGCTTCATGCCTCTCTTAGATTTGTTTATTATTATTGTTTAATTTTGTTTAGTTCTTATTTGTAGCTAAGTTGACAATAGGTGATGAGGTCATTGACAGACATTTTAGGCAGGTCTAACGGCGAAGGAATCGTAGATCGACGGCTACGATTAGGAGCTTATATTTATGATGTTTTCCATGTATCTTTTAATTGCAGTTTTTCAGTTTACTATTTTGCCCATATGGATGTTTAGTTATTGTTGTAGCCCTTTGGACATTTGAGTCATGTTATTTTTCTTTTGATGAGACCTATATAAAGAGATCTTCTACTTTGTATGAGGTGAATGTTTGATTAATAAAATTTCTGAGATTTTCATTTTTCTTGCTTGAGAGCTTGAGAGAACGAGAGGAGACCTAGGAGAGGCTCACACCGGAATACCCAATAGCCCACATAGGTGAGCTCTTGGCCTTATCTTTATTTTCCTGTATTCTTCTTCCCCACCACACCCCCATACACCCGGCCTCTTCCCCTCCCCTTTTTCCTGTCCCCCTTACCAGCCGACCCAACCAAAACCGTCAGAAAAACCCGCCGGCTTCCCCTTCCTCCTTGCCGCTGGCTGTGCTAGCCGCCGGCTCAGGCTAGCCCGTCGTTCCCCTAACCTAGCCCCTCCTCCCCATGAGCAATCCCGCCGGCCCCTCCCTGTTGAATTTTGAATTTCAAAATTAAATCCTTCATTAACTCTTTCCTAAATTACTTCCCCACAATTAGGAAAGGGACTTAATTGAGGCCCAATCTATTTTGAATTCAAATTCAATTCCCTCTCTTCTCTTCCCCTCATTTGGAAACTTTCCTAAATTAAATTAAATCTGAAATTCAAAATCAGATTTGATTTAATTTCCTTGGCCCCACCAATTAATCATAGTTCCCCTTTTTCCTCTCCTTGTTTGGCCGGCCACCCCTCTTAGCCGTTTCTCTCTCCACTTGCCACTTAAGCCTATTTTAATTAGCCAATTAATTCCCCCTAGTAGCTGCCCCTCTCTCTAGCCTAATTTAGGGAGATTTTAATTGCAAATAATCTCTCCCTCTAATCAAAGAAAATCTGAAATTCAAATTCAGATTTTCTCAAAACAAGATCTCCCTCCAAATCCCAACTCATAGCTCATCCGCCCTTGCTCTCCCACTCCACCGACGGCATCCCCTCCTCCCTCCAAGGTCACGGCTCCATCACCCGTCCCTCTCCCTAGCCACGGCAAGCTCCTCCACCTCTCTATTCTTCTTCCCATTCAATCCCACTATGAATGGGGGTCAAAACTTGAAGGTGGCTCGTTATTGCGCCTCGGAAACATCCACGTTCTTCGATCTCCATTCTCGACGGGGTTTTGACCACGATGACACAGTTGAAGTGATACTGGATCGAATCCTCCCCACCCTTGTGCACGTCATCGACGGCCAATTCCAAGACTACGTTTGGACAATCACCGGACGCCATCCACCACCACCTCCATCGGCGGCTACCTCTCGTAACGCAAGAATCATCTCCTTCTCCGTAGTGGTGCTCTCCATCCTTGTATGGTTCTTTCTCGCTGCAAAGCCAAGAGTGAATGAGTGAGAAGGTGCTCGCGGTGAATTTTCTCATTATTAAGCGTCGGATTTTGTTATGAGCATTTAAGTATTTCTTTATCACTGGATGTTGTTTGAATTGTTTGGTTATCTCAAAGCATATCTTCGCCTAAGCAAGTTGACTACCTATAATTTATTTAATCCTTTATTTTATTGGTGATAACTTGGTGGTGGTAACGCTTTATTTAATTATCATCTTAATTTCCACAAGCAACTCCTACTTGATTCACTTCATTATGGTATCAGAGCATGGTAGGAATGCATGACATGTTAGAAAAACATCCTAGGGTCTAGCCTTTCGTTATAGCTTTAAATTTGCATGCATATCATCGTGTAGTTTCAATTTACTCACTGTTTTCACTGCTGTCCCTGCATTTCCTGCGCACATTCATTAGCGTTTAAGTCATCCTAGCTAGTGTCTTAGTGCTGCCATTGAATCCGCAGCGTTTCTAAGTGCGTAGGACAACTACACCTTGAAGTTAAACTGCTGTCCTCACTGTTCCAGCAACTTTTAGACGTCCCGTAGTGAACTTTATGTCGGTGTTTAGGTTCTGTCTACATGCTGCCCTCTTGTCCTTAACCTTCCCCAGTGTCCCCTAACACCCAACCATGGATCCGGCACACATACAAGCAACCGTAGACCTGATTGTGGGCCGATTGGGTACAGTTACGTAACAAATTAGGGATACCCAAACGAATTTAGCGGAGTTTAGGCGTCAAACGGGCGATAGGCTAGACAACATCGAAAGGATAGGACACCCGGCCATCTACACCTCCTCTAGACCCCAATCTCCTTATAACGAAGATAACCAAACTGATTATGGACCTCCTAGAGATCACTACCGACCCAATCACCGACCTAATCACGAACCGGGAGGACGTGACGCACCTTGGAGAGAACAATACTCAACTTCTTAAGAGTATTAAGATAGATGCCCCGACATTCGATGGTACGTTAGAACCCCAAGTTTTTCTTGATTGGCTTAAAGGAATGGATAGCTATTTCAAGTGGAACAATATTTCGGAAGAGAAAAAGGTTCGATTTGCTGAAACGAAATTGACTGGTAGAGCCAACCAATACTGGACTAACATAGAACATATGCGGGAAACGCGAGGAGAATACCCCGTAGCTGACTGGGGAACAATGAAACAAGAATTGAAGCGGAAATATCTTCCCCCCCCTCATACTATCATAGACTTTTGGATCATTGGAATAGGTTAACCCAGGGTAGCAAACCCGTTAAGGAATATATCTCGGCCTTTGATGACTTCATGATTCGTGGATACTTTTGAAGCTGCATGTAGTCTTGTACTAGACTTAGAAGAATCTAGGAGCCATACCTCTAGGACCCAAGACTCTTGTCCTAACCCGTTCAAATCCTCCTCTAACCAACCTTACAACAAGCCCACTGGACCCTCGAGTAGTCGACCTTCCCTTGGCCAAGCCCAACCTCGACCGGACTATAAAGGAAAAGCACCCGAACGGGAAACACCCAAAACCACTGCTGACACTAAGTGTTTTAGATGCCATGGGTACGGACACATTGCCTCTCAATGCTCCAGCTCGTTCAAGGTCACAATAATTGAAGAGGTGATGGAAGAAGAGGATGAACCCGCCACTGATTTGGTCCACCATGTGGAAGATGAGGAAGATTTCTTTGAGGATGATACCCCTGCTGATTTGATGGTCGTTAGATGTGCCTTGTCCCACCCTAAACCTAATGATGAATGGCGTAGGACGTCTATTTTCCACACTTTTACCAAGATAGGAGACAAGAGTTGTAAAGTCATCATAGACAATGGAAGTTGCATTAATGCCGTCTCCTCCGCCATGATTTCCAAGCTTAATATCAAGGCAACACCCCACCCAAATCCCTATAAAGTTGCTTGGATTAACTCAACGACAATTGAAATTAAGGATCGGAGCCTCATACTTATAACATTTGCTGGGTATCAAGAAAAGATTTGGTGTGACGTTTTGGCTATGGATGTTGGCCAGATCATCCTTGGGCGTCCGTGGCTTTTTGACAATGACGTCCATATTTATGGGAGGACAAATACGCAGGTATTTGAACATAACGGTAAAAAGATTAAACTTATTCCCTCCCAACCAAAGAACAATAATGATGAAGATAAGACTGCTACCCCTAAAACCAGTAAAGGCCTGCACCTTGTGACTGCCAAAGAAATGGATATGGAATTTAACCAAGGATTCCCCATGTACACCCTGGTAGCTAGGGAAGTTAATGATGACAAGGTGGAACCTGTCCCCGAGGAGATTAAACCTCTTTTGGAAGCTTTCGTTGATGTCTTCCCGTAAGACTTACCCAACCAACTCCCACCCCTTAGGGACATTCAACACGTAATAGACCTAGTACCCGGAGCTTCCTTACCAAACCTTCCTCATTACCATATGAACCCAACTGAACATGCTGAACTGAAGAAACAAGTAGATGAACTCTTGCAACGAGGATTCATCAAAGAGAGCCTTAGCCCGTGTGCTGTCCCTGCACTGCTAACTCCCAAGAAGGACGGCTCTTGGTGAATGTGTGTCGATAGCCGCGCTATCAACAAGATTACTGTCAAGTATAGATTCCCTATTCTCCGATTGGACGACATGTTAGACATGATGACCGGAGCCACCCTCTTTTCTAAGATTGATCTTAAGAGTGGTTACCATCAGATTAGAATCCGTACGGGAGATGAATGGAAAACTGCGTTCAAAATGAAAGATGAACGTTACGAGTGGACTGTAATGCCTTTTGGTTTGAGTAACGCTCCAAGTACTTTTATGAGAGTCATGACTCAAGTTCTCAGACCCTTTTTAGGAAGATTTGTAGTAGTTTATTTTGATGACGTTTTGATCTATAGCACTTCGGTGAATCAACATCTCGATCTTCTAACACTAGTGTGTGAAGTTCTGAGGAAAGAACAGCTGTTTGCTAATCCTGCCAAATGTAAATTCCTCACCAATAGTGTGACTTTTCTTGGATTTATCATATCCAATCAAGGGATATCTGCAGACCCAGAAAAGGTAAGAGCTATAAATGAGTGGCCCGAACCCAAGAACATTAGAGATTTTAGTTTTCACAGATTGACTACAGTTTATCGGAGGTTTATTAGAAATTTTAGCATCATCGTAGCACCAATAACGGACTGCCTTAAGAAAGGAGAATTTCATTGGACTATACTCGCAACTAAGGCATTTGAGGAAATTAAGAGACGAATGATGGAAGCCCCTGTAATGAGATTACCGGATTTTTCTAAAGTTTTCAAGGTAACCTGTGACGCGTCAGGGATTGGCATAGGTGGAGTCCTATCACAAGAGGGACACCCAGTCGCTTACTTTAGCGAGAAGCTGAATGAGACCAGGCAATGGTACTCCACCTACGACAA